CACTGAATGTGACGGACGTTGAAAAGTCGTCAAATAGATTTTCATATTTTTTCCAGCACAAAAGCATCGCAGATCAGTATACTTCATATTTCTCAGTCGGTAATGATGAGATCTGCGTGGATTGCCGCCAAAATCTCTATATACTCGTCGGACGCTGAACCCCTAGTGGCATGAACAGACGCAGAAATAATAGTGAGATTTATATATATATATATATATATATATATATATATTAGAAAAATAATGGGCAAAATCCGCAAAAAGAGGATTGCGGATTTTGCCCATTATTTTTCTACTTTTTGTTATATATACATATATATATATATATTTGTGAGAAGCAGTCATTGCCAAAGCCAACGACTAGTTGGGTACAAAATACAATTACTTGTTAATTGGGAAAATTGGCAAAACTTTTAGGCTAAAGTTGACTCTTTTGACGATAAAATCAAGCTTTCGGCATTCTCTATGGAGCCATCATCAGGATTTCGTCGGTGAGGTTGCAGCCACAAGGTGATTCAGAAAGAACGTAGAGAAGATCGAACTTGTATTCAGTATAAAAACAAAAGGACGGGGACATTGGGCTTGTTAAAAACGACAGATACCTTCGTTAAAAGTTAAGAAAAATAAATTTTTTTATCAATAAACCCGAAAAAGCTAAAAATACTGCACGTGGGGAGACATTTTGTTGAAATTTGATTATGTATGAATTATAGAGAATGCCGAAAGCTTGATTTTATCGTCAAAAGAGTCAACTTTAGCCTAAAAGTTTTGCCAATTTTCCCAATTAACAAGTAATTGTATTTTGTACCCAACTAGTCGTTGGCTTTGGCAATGACTACTTCTCACGTAACATCCACAGATTTGGGATACTTCCAACAAATTGAAGATTAAACACAAAAAACGTTTGGCTCATGAAGTTAACAGACGGATATTTCTGAGGAAGAATAACATCCTACCACCACACATCAACCATCGCATAACATCAATAAACACCATCATACACAATCACCTTGCAGAAGATGGATTACATTCTCCTTTACAAAGGTTGGGTGAGAAAATACTTTCTCTTGAAATCTCTTCTTGTCATAAACAATTAAAAAAACTTCACTCATCCCTTGAACTTTTGAAAACTGAAATCATTTCACTCACGTCCCTCTTAATTTTTAACAATTTTCAATCGAGACAATTAAGACATTAT